GGAGGAGATGCATTCCTACATCCCTGCCGCACTGCTGCCTGATGGACGGACACGTTGGGGACGCGCTGGGATACCCCTGCTTTCTCCGGAGAGAAGAGGGGCTGGCTGGCTGCCCAGTCACCTGAGCGGGTGATTTTCCCATCTCTGATTCAGGGGCAAACAGGGCATAAAGACAGGCACTGCATCCCCACAGGCAGCCCCTGCCCTGTCCCTGCCCTGCGAGGGGGACGGGCAGCCAGGGCGGGGGGCAGCCAGCCCAGCCTGCTCCTAATCTGCTTGCTAAACTGCAGGGGTCAGAAAGCAAGGAAATATTTTTGGGGGAGAGCTGTCCAAGCTGGAGGTGGCTGGATGTCACCCAGGATGGGATGGCACAGCTGGAGGTGCAGTGGTCGCTGTTACAAATACAGAAAATCCTGGGTGCCCCCTGCACCTGAATTCGGTGTTTTCTCCTACAGCATCCACAAGAGTGATGCTCCTTTTGACTAAAATCTAATAACACAAATGTAAAAAAGAAAGGATTCAGAGACTTTATATTTCCAAGTGAGGTCCGGTGGTGGAAAATGCAAGATTAGGAACTTCTCCACTCCCTTTCCCTGAAGGCAACGGGCAAAATAGATTTAGCAAACAATGAATAAAACCTTCTCCCTTGCTGAGGTCCCTCTCCCAAAACACCACCTGCCCATCAGGGCCCACCAAGGCTGGGGATCATGGTCTCAGGTGGGGATGCTTCACCATCAAGTGACCTGTCTTGGTTTATACTAGATTTGGCTTCCAAATGGATTTAAGTTATCTCCACCCCTAGGCAGGTCTGCAGCAGCACGTTAAGCTAGAAATGGCCACATTGCTGCTTTTAACCAACATATTCAAATTAAAGGTAAGTAAAGACCAGAACCTCTTCACTAGCCCTAAAATTCAAATTTGACTCCTGGCACTGTTTGACCTCCCAGGCAGCAGTTTTACATCAGCCGTTTCCATCCCTACATGTTCCCAGCAGAGACACCAGTCCCCAGACACCAAGAGTGCACCAGGGGATGCCAGACTGTGTTTCCCAGCCAAGCCCCCCCCCCTGCAGCCACAGCTCCCTCCTGTCCCCCAGCCACCTCCACCTCGTCCCACCTAAGCCACGCCACCCGCTCTGGCCCAAGCACTCCTCCACCCCCCCATGCCACCAGGGATGGACACCCCGCAGGTCCCAGCAGAAAGCCATACCTCCCTGGAGCAACAGGAGCTGTAGAGAAACCTCCAGCATCCAGGAGCTGCACAGCCCTTGGAAACCTCCTTGTACATCCACTGGGGGCTGATACCCCTCCCTGCCCCCCCCATGTGTGTGTCCCCCCCCCCCGGCTCCAACAGCCCACGTAGGCGCATGCCACAACTGAGCCGGCATTAGCCTACAACAACAGCCTTTGTTCCCCCTGCGCTGGGAACAACGGCACATTGTGGGCAGCTGCCTGCGCCGGCAGGAGTTGGCGGCGGGGTGGCTTTGGAGGATGTTCCCTCCGCACGCTGTGCTCTCCCTTGTTCTGGCAAGCTTGTGACTAAATCCCCTCTAAACTCTGTTTTTCGTGCAAATTGAAAAAGCTGGGTTGGTTTTTTGGGGGTTGGTTGTTGTGGTTTTTTTTGATCAGTGAGATGACGGCTGAAGCTATGGCCGGGCTGCAGTGCGAGAAAAACAAAGCAACAGTGTTTTCCCCCACGTGCTGCGGCTGTGGAGGTCAGTTTTGGGCTGATCCTGCAGAAACAGATCATTCCCTTTTCCCAGGGGTGAGGCTGGCATCCCCCATGGCACCGAGCCCCCTCCATGCTCCATGAGCACACCACAACAAGTCTCGGACCTGCGCCCCCAGCAGCAAGGTCTGGGTATTTGGAAACCTAAGTTCAATGAATTTATCTTCTAAATAGCGATCAGGTTTTAGGTTGGTGAATGTCAGGAAGGTCCTTGGCACTTTTACAGAGTTCCTCACGGTATTACTAGTTTATTTTTTGAAACCTTCCCAGCTCCACCTCGAACAACTGATTAAGGGCCATGGAATCCAAATTTGATTTTCTTGTGAGCTTTCTTGAGAGTTTTCTTTCTCTTTTCTTCTGCAGCAGTGTTTATTTTTTTAATAAAAGTCTTTTCATCAGTTAGTCAGATATTTTCCATTTCCTAGACAAAACTTCTAAGGTGTAACTGGCAGTTTCTGTAATCTCCTAAGTGCAGTATTTGGTACAAACATGTTATTCTGGATTAGACAAGTTCTGGTAAAGAAGAAGACAACCAGCAATTTTGTAGCACCCATTTTCCTGGTAGTTAAAGACAAGATTTCTCATCAAAGGAAGAAATTTTGTTTTGCATTAATCCTTTTAAATATTTAACAGCTCCTGGGCAGCAGTAGATCTTGGAGTTCGAGCAACTGTATATGTTTTTATACGCACGTACAGGTTTTTTTCTACAGGAAAAAGAATATGACTTCTGATAAGTACTGAAAAAGATAACATTGGAGAAGTAGAACCCGTCCTTCCCCAGGGAGAGCAGCATTCAGTGCTGCTGGGCCCAGCTGCTACAGCCACATTTGGATTCAACCTTCCCCGAAAAAAGAAGATTCTAAGTCTGGAGATGAATTCCTTTTTTTTTTTTTAACACAGCCCTTCCTGCCTTTTTATTAAAGCCTGGCTGCTGGTGCTGTTCTTCCAGACCTTTTAAAACCACCCTTTCAAACTATTTGACTAGAGGTCATATCTCATGTAGTTGTAATTACAGAGCTGAGGCAAGGGCAGAGGGAGAGGCCAACATGACCGCCTTCAGAAAAGGCTCTTTGATTCAAGGTGAAGACCAGCTTTTGCTCTTCAGACCATAAAGCATTGCAAAAAGAAAACCTCTCTGAGAGCAAAGACAGGTACGGTAAAGCATGCCTTTTACCCTTCAAAAGCACACAGGTCTTCAGCAGGGAAAATATCCTCAGAATTTAAATTTCCCTGCTGTACCCGTGCTGCTGCCGATAGCGCGTGGTGGGAGCTCAGCGCTGGCAAGATTAAATGCATCCAACAGGTACAGTGCTCCAAAACTGGGGTATGCGCAAACCCCGCTGCACGGAGATGTGGAGAATTGCCAGCAAAAAAGCTTTTGTCGCTTGCTCAAAGTCAGCAGTGCAGATTGTAAGGCAGTGGAGGCTGGTCCCCGAGTTTTTCTGGGTCAAGAGAAGGGACTAAGGAGGGACAGGAGCTTTTGGTAAGAAATAAGGCTCCTGTGCTTTGGTGGGGCTCATGGACCAGCCTGTAACTGGGAGCAAGCAGGTGCAGGAGTTACAGCTCGGTTTGGATTAATCACAGCACGCTGCAAGGGGATGCCAACTGCTGGCAGACCCAGAGACCCATGGGTGCTGAGCTCCCATATGGGCCATAAAAAGCTCAGAGAACAGATAACACAAAAGTAGCACTGAATTATTAATAGAATCATAGAATGGTTTAGGTTGGAAGGGACTCTAAAGATCATCTAGCTCCACCCCCCCTGCCATGGGCAGGGACACCTCCCACCAGCCCAGATTGCTCAAAGCCCCATCCAACCTGTCCTTGAACACCTCCAGGGATGGGGCAGCCACAGCTTCTCTGGGCAACCTGGGCCAGTGCCTCACCACCCTCATTGTGAAACATTTCTTCCTAATATCTAATCTAAATCTACCCTCTTCTAGTTTGAAGCCATTGCCCCTCGTCCTATCAATTGTAACCATTATCGATTAATGTTACTGATTATATTTCAACTGTACCTGAAATGAAGGAACAGATTTGAAATTCTGCTTGCTCACCTCTTCTTAAAGCAAGGCTGAGCCCAACCATCACGGCATGTGCGACACTGCATCGCCCCCGAAGGGAAGAGGCCTGAACACTCCGAGCACCAAAAGTACCCCAAGAGAAGCCACTCTGCTGGGTGAAAATCTGGTACAAAACCAGAATACCTTTTTATGCCCTCGATGGAATATATGCTTAGTCACCCTTTTCTGGGTAAACAGAAAGAGTAAAAGGTTGGAGAGCAGGTATGAGTCCAATGGGGGATGCTCACCTTTCAGAGGAGCATTGGCTGATCTTCTGTGAAACATTCTGGTTTGTCCTCCTCTTAAAAAGAATATCCTTAGCTGACTACGTTTCTTTGAAAGTTGGCCTAACGTTTCCTTTCCATTCATGGTGAGTTCTGCCGACTCTCAAACCCCGGTATTTACACCAGGCAGCAAACATGCCCGTTGGTCCCCCAGAGCGTGGCAACTGGTCCTTTTGGAGCACAGCAGCTCCAGCACAAAGTGAGCAGAGATGAAGAAAACCACTTTGAAAGCCTGAAAACTTACTGAGGAATATATATTTAAAAAAAAACCCGAATCCAAGAAATACATCAAATCAAGCAGCTTTGACTCAGCCCGGACTTTCTGATGCAAGTTTAGTAACGCACTTGTCTATCATTCAGCAGATTGCAAGGCGCTAACAGGTATAGGAGAAAATGTTGTCCAAACGAAAGGGACTACAGTTTTGTTTTACCAAAAGCCACTAGATGGGGATGCAAGG